AAGTGAGTTAAGTTCTCTCTTGGTCACAATTTGTAACCAATTAATGAATAAAAATTTATTTAAAAGGCAATTAGGCCAATTCACTGTACTGTTTTCGCTCTACTCCCCATTCTCTCTTTCAGTGAAGTTTCAAACAATCTGAAAATGTAGTTCATTTAATATCTACTTTTTTTCAGACACCAACAGTAGGCTATTTTCATATTCTCGTTTTTGAACTGGAACTAGCTTGTAGCGGTGGCTCATTCGGAAGAATGTCGTTAAAACGAGACCAATATAATTTACAGCTGAAAAGACTCCCTGCATTAGTCTCAGTTGCAAGCTAGTTCGAGTCCAATACCGAGAATACGAAACTGGTCAGTAACGAATCGCTAGGACGGCGTCATGACCCCAACCAGGGCTAGAACCCAGTCCGCTTGATTCAACTGAATCCAGCGCGCTAATCGTTAGGTAGCCACGCTCCCTATCGAATACAGAACCCATGATATCATTTTGCCGTACAAACAGTGAGGAGACAAATATCATAAAGTAGCGATAATAATAAGCCCTTTAAAAATGTCCTCACCCCGCCTAAGAAAATCAAAGAAAATCTCAGACATAAGAATCTCTCCGAACATACGTCCCTCAATGTGCGGACAGAGTATTTATATTTTACTCTCTCATGCTATTTAATTACTGTAGAATTTGTTTTGTGTTCCACATCGTTGCGTTGACAGAGTTTAACCATGCAGATCTTATGTAGTCTCGTCTAGTCCAGTCTACCGTTTAGTTAAGCGTTTTTAGAAAACAAACAAACAAACAAGTAGGCAAACGGATTAAAAAAAATAATCAACAGCTCGTTTAATTTACAATCTTTTTGCAGAAACCGTAAACTATACAAATGACTTGAGCGCGTCTGTATATGTGTGTTAGGCCAAGCAAAGCACAAACCTTTAGCGCAAGATGTCCAAAGTGGGTGTGCTTTGAACAGAAAAGGTTTTCGTCGCACGCTTCAGTGCAGTCTTTCTGGTCCACGTCGCATGTTTTCAAAAGATTCAAGGGCAAAACCAGTGCTGGTACCCAAATTCGCTTTTCATTTATGTAGCGAGGAAAGTTATCTTCAACGGCTTTAACCATGTCGGATTTTGTTGTCCTTTTTATGTCAGGTAAAAACTCCAGGAATTATGAATGATATCGATTTCCGTCGTTCCGGTTCGCCAAGCGAGGAAACTTTTGACGTGGTCAATTATCAGTCTGGTGAAGGGTGGATAAAGGTATGACACTACAGAAGGTTATCTCAAGGTTATCTCAAGGTTATTTCAAGGTTCTCCCCTGTATGTCATTGGGGAGTTATTTAAGAAAACTTCAACGGCAACGACAACGGGAAAGTCGCTAAACAAAATGTTTACTGAGCAGTACAGCGGCTATGCTCGTGTGTTATAATTCCCGGTACACTTCTTTGCCGTCCTCTCCAACAACCAAATTCTGCATTGTCGGATCTGGAGAACGTGAACTATGACGGCTAAGTTTTCTAATTTTGATTTCGAATTTAACGCCATGTTCCAGATTCAGTTTCGAGATAGTATGGACAATAAAGAAACAAGCGTCTCCATCGCGGTTAGTTAATTTTTCTGCTATTATACCAAACCCCCTTCACCTCTTCCAGGGAAACAAAGACGTTTGAAGTTCGCGAGAAACTTAAGAGAAATTAAGTACCCAGGTTAGGTATTACTAGACCATATAGACGGAGACTGAAAAGTTCGAAACAACCGTCCACGGCTGCTAATGCTTTGGGTTCAGTTTTTGGTAGTTACAGGGTTAACGTCCTTCACCACCGGGGAAAGCTCCATACCAAAAGGTGGGGGACGGTCGCTCTACCCCGTTGGGGGACTTCCATATGAAAGAGTTTGGGATGGTCATGAGAAAATTTGAATTAGACCCCACCCCTAAAGGAGACCAACCTGCACGTGACAAGCTTTATTTCACCCCCTAACAGAAATGACAGCGCTCTTTTATAATATTTTCACGAGTGCACCCTAAGAGATAAGTGAACCCAATATTCGTGATTAACACCCCCCAAGCGAGACTTCGAGTATCTCCCCCGGGTTTGGGAAGCTTGGTGATTTGTCACTTAGTTGGCCAGTTGGTAGGTTTGTTCATTCATTCCTTCATTCATTCATTTGCTACTATCGGCCCTAAACTTGCCAGCAATATTGATTCTTCAAATAGTGATGGCTATCAGAAATACCTCACTGGCACAGATAAACGGTTTCAGCTCCGTCCGGCCAGTGCAAATAAAGTCCTCTCACTTCTGAATCATCTAAATAAGTCAAAGGCAGCTGGCCTTGACAAGATAGCTGCTAGGCTTATTCGGGAATGTGCAGATCTGATTTGCATCCCTATCCGTGATATTTTTAACCAGTCAATAAGTCAAGGCATATTTCCGGATGATTGGAAATGCGCAAAGGTCACCCCACTTTTTAAACAAGGCGATCGAGACGATCTAAATAATTATCGTTCAATTTCGGTGATCGCAGTTATAGCCAAGGTCTTTGAAAGAATCGTCTATGATCAATTATATGCCTACCTAGAAGAGCACAATATCATTGGTAATTATCAATCGGGCTCTCGCGCTATTCACTCAACTGTCACGGCTCTCCTTGAGGCCACGGACACTTGGGCGTACAACACTGACCGCGGAAAAATCAATGCCGTTGTATTCTTAGATCTAAAAAAGGCCTTCGACACAGTTGACCACGAGATCCTTTTATTGAAATTAAGAAATTAGGGCATATATGGTAACGCGCACCAATGGTATAAGTCATATTTAGAGAATCGTACTCAAATGTGCTCCATCAACGGATCGCTCTCTAAAAGCTGTTTATTAAGTCGTGGTGTTCCCCAGAGGACCATTTTAGGGCCACTATTATTTCTGTTACACATCAACGATCTTCCAAATTGTCTATCAAATTGTAAGCCGAGGATGTACGCTAGTCTTACGCTGATGACACCCACCTTACATACGCAGATGATAATGCAGACAATATTCAGTTACGCCTAAATCCAGATTTAGAAAATGTTCACAATTGGCTGAGAGCAAACAAACTCACTCTAAATATGACTAAAACCGAATTCATGCTTATCGGATCTAGGCAGAGGTTAAGTGCTCTCACAGAGTCCCCGAGATTTGCAATAAATGATTTTCAGGTTAGCCAGGTCACTACCGCAAAATCACTTGGAGTGACCATCGATGACAGACTTGATTGGAGTGGCCATATCGAGAAAGTAACTAAAAAAGTCGCTTCTGGTATTGCGGCCATAAAACGAATAAGGCACCTTGTCCCTCAGGCGACTTTACATCTAATATACCAAGCTTTGATAAAGCCACACTTTGACTATTGCAATATTGTCTGGGGAAACTGTGGGTAAATTTTCGGAATAAGGTACAAAAGCTACATAATAGAGCAGCCCGTGTTTTGACCTACTCAAACTATGACGTAGACGCTGGTCACCTGTTCAAACTTCTAGGGTGGAAAAATCTAGCTTTCCAGCAGCAAATTCAAAGAGCTACGATGGTTTACAGGTCTCTGCACGGGTTGGCTCTAAACTATCTCAGTTCTAAGTCTGAAAGGTGAGAAATCGCATATGACCTAAGGGACTCTGAGAATAAACTCAATGTTCCATTACCGCGCACAGACTATTAGAAAAATAGCTTTAGCTATAGTGGCGCCATTCTCTGGAACAGTCTCCCTTGTACCTTAAGGAAAGCAGAGTCCCTTGGGCAATTCAAACGACTACTAAAAGAAGAACCGTAAGGCACGGCATTCGTGGAAAGCAGCTTTTTTATTTAAATATTTCTCATTGTATTAGTATTAGGTATTTTTTATGGGTATTTTTAAAGCTGACGAATTTTGTACCGTGGATAAATAAAGATTATCTATCTATCTATCTATCTATCTATCTATCTATCTATCTATCTATCTATCAATTTGGTCGTTGGGTCGCTGGTTGGTTGGCTGGGTATTGCATTTTAACCCTGATTTTCCTTGATGAATTCCTTAAATTGTGAATGCCAGGTGGGAGAACACAACAGGCACACAACGGGTTTGACTATGGACAGAAAAAGACCGGTGGTGTGGCTTGATGGTGAACTGGATGTCCCAAAACTGGCTAGTGTTGAACTCAAGTATAGGAAGATCAAAGTTCTGATTGCGCTGGTATGGTAACATCTCTTCTTATCATACATTTTTATTTATTTATTTATTTATTTATTTTTTACAATTTGATAACAACAAATTAACAAGAACAGAAATGCCATAAGGATGGTCCGTAAAGGGGTCACAGACCCCATACTAAGACAGACCACCTACATTATAAATATATGAAGAAAAATTTAAAAAAATACATTCTACAGGCCAATCAATTCAGTTGGTATTCATTAAGAAACTCCTTACACCACGCTTAAAACTTGAAATACTAAGTGCTCAGTGATCTTACTATAAATGGAAGCGAATTCTACATGTCAACTATGACCTCTCAATCTCTAGTTTGTGAACTGCAGATACAGTAGAACCTTGTTATCTTGAATTCGGTGATCTCGAACTCCCTGCTTTCTCCAACTCAAACTATTTCCCCTTGGAGATACCCCGAAGGGAGAACTCTCTTATATAGACTGTATAGGTATGTGCGGCCCCAAAGGGTATGTTTTTAACCGTTTTGTCAGAAAGAGGGTACCGATTTTGGTTATTTTGGTCTCAAATAGGGTATGGTGTTTGCATTTTAGTTCTTGAATTGGATATGTTTTTTGGAAAAAGCTACTTTTTCATCATATCATTATTGATAAGACCATCAACAAAAGCCCTTCAAAATGCCTTTAACATCGGTCTGAACAAGGGAATTAATTATAAGGCTGGTCTGAAACAGGGCATTGATTTAAGGGAGAGGTCTTTTAAAAAATATAGAAAAAGTAGAAAACAGGGTATCCAACTTTTGGTCAGGTCATAAAAAGGGTAAGAAAAATCGCAGAATTTGGTCTTAAATAGGGAAAGGGTTTTGGTAGGCGGGCCGCACACCCCAACCCAATTTTTCTTTAAATACCCCTCGGAGATACCCCAGAGAATATACTTTTCAGTCATCTACTATCGGCTATTTCGAACTCCCGGGGGGTTTGGTTTTGTTATCTGTCTAGCGCGCTTGCGCAGCTACAAAGGTTTCTATGTTTGATCAAATTTCCGACTACGATAAACGAGCGGCTGTTGGCCAATATTCATTGTTGACGTGGAGAATACAAAAAAAGTCCTCAGATGTGGCCCTGGAGAGCCAAAACGCGGGCAGATCTCCGGCTTTTGTTGCACGCTTTTTTTATCGGCAGCGTGAAGCAAACTCCGGAAATCCGAAGTGGTTCGCAGGCTAAAGACTCGCTAGGCGCAGGCAGGAAGGATAAATGGAACATCCAAAGACGAACATGACCAAAAAAAAAAAAACAAAACAAAGCAAAACAAAACAAAGGGAGGGAAAGACGAACGTTTTAGCATCAAAGGAAATCTCCTGTCCAGTTTTTCATTCACAGCTTAATATGATATGTTCTAATTGACGGCGAACCGTAAAAATAGATTTCATGTTCATAAATGGATCGGACGCAGCTTCTAAGGAATGGTTAAGAAGTGGCGAGTGCTTAGTAAGCAAAGCTGGGCTTGTTAAAAACGTAAAATGTTTGTCTGATTGAATCCAGAGTCCACCGTTTGTAATGAAGAAAGACAACTTCACAGACACGGATTCTGGTCCTGATTACGAGGGATTCTGCATCGATCTGCTTAATGAGCTGCGGAAGAAACTGCAGTTTGAATATGAACTGGAGCTGAAGGAGAACTTTGGAAACAAGCAAGCTGATGGAACATGGGATGGGATAATTGGAGAACTAACAAGAAAGGTAAAGCTGAATGCACTCTGATCGATCGATCGATCGATCTATCAATCTATCAGTCAGTCAGTCAGTCAATCAATCAATCAATCAATCAATCAATCAATCAATCA